GTTGTTGAGAGTCAATAGCACTACTCATATATTTTCATTTCGTCCTTCAACACCGATAGTGTTGGATCCGAAAAAAGATTATGAATTGGCGCTTAGGTCTTTTACTTCATACAATTCCATACCGAATATTGAAAAAGGAGATAAATTTTATTATATCGACCGGATAGGTGGTGGTGGTGGTGGTGGTCAATTAAAAGTCATCGAGTTTCCGACAGGTTGTTATGAAATTACCGACATAGAAACATTTATACGAACGCAAATGAATCTTGAAAATGAAGTTGCTCCTCCGGATGATTATTTTTCTCTAAAACCTAACAATAATACACTGCAATGTGAAATCTTTAGCAAGTATTATAAAATAGTTTTTACAGAACCGAATAATCTTGGACATCTATTGGGATTCTCGAAAAAAGTTCTTAATCCTGGTCAAAAGCATTCTTCTGATTTACCTGTAAACATAATAAAAGTATCAACCATACACTTTGATGCTAACATTACGTCGGGAGCCTTTGACGGAGACACGCCTGCACACACGATCTACGAATTTGCTGTGACAGCCGATCCTGGATACGCTATAGTCGAAACACCTGTAAATTTACTATATCTACCTGTTATACCGAAACAAGAAATAACCAACATCACAGTGTTGGCTTTAGATCAAGACGGTCGTCCTGTAAACTTTCAAGGTGAAACTAGTACTCTTGTGTTGGAGTTGAGAGCGAAGCGCAGATGGGATTAGTGATTATAAGACATAGTGGTGCTTCCAAGGCAACTTCAGTATTACCCCAAGCACCTAAGCGACGACATCTACTACTAACTACATCAAATATCCTGTTTCTACGCTCACTTGGATATCATGTCAACAACAACAAGAATCATGTACAAAAAGAGAAAAACTGAGGAGGCAGCAGCAGCAGCATCACATACTTCTCCGATGTTTGATCTATATCGATCTCCAGCATTCGATGAATCTATTCGCAAGGCTGAGTATAGATCTTATACGCCGTTCATCAAGTCATTTAATTGTAATGATGTTGTGGAATTTAGCATCAATCAAGTAGATTCGTTCTTTGCAATGAACGCTTCCCTTCTATCTATCAAAGGAAAAGTTGAAATAACTGGAGGAGGAGGAGCAGGAGATGTATCTTTAGCTCCAAACTTTGGTGCCTTCCTATTTGACTCTTGCACTTACAGTGAATCCGCTAGAGAAGTTGAAACAGTACGTGATCCTGGTATTGTAAGTACTGTCCGAGCTTACGTATGTTACAGTGAGGAAGACTCAAATCATATGGCTATAGCTGGATGGAACTATCCTTCAACACCTATAATGGCGTCAACACATAACAAGTCTTTTAGCTTGCTAATGCCGCTTAAACATATTTTCAACATTTTCAATGATTATCCTATGATTACGTGTGGCAGACAAACTCTCAGATTTGTGAGAGCTAGAAACGATAACGATTGTATCATTATCAAGGAAAAAACTGGAACGACGACGACAGCGAAAATAACTATTGAAAGCATGGAACTGAAAATCAAACATATTTACCCGAGTGATGATGTGAAAGAACAACTTTTGAAAGCTATTCAAACTGATAAGCCGATACTTATACCGTTTAGAAAATGGGATCTGAATGAACTGCCTGCAATTACCGCAGATGCGAGAAGAGAAATATGGTCAGTTAAAACTAGCACCGCAATCGAAAGACCACGTTTCATTATAGTATGTTTCCAAACCGGTAAACGTGACGTCGCAACCTCAGACCCTACCCTGTTTGATCACGTGAATGCTGCTAGTATTCGAGTATCTTTAAATGGTGAATACTATCCCAACGAACGTATGCAATTGGACTTTGCAAACAATCACTTTACTGAAGCTCATTTCAACTATAGCGACTTTCAAACCAGCTATACAACTTCTTCTTCTCCTCTGAAGAGATGTCTTTTAGATTATACCGCTTTTAAAAATCGCGCTTTGTTTGTTATTGACTGTTCCAAACAAGAGGAAACCATGAAATCATCAACTGTTGATGTTAGATTGGATATCGAAGCCGATACTGGCTTTCCAACCAACACCAAGGCCTACTGCATCATTATACATGACTGCTTAATCGAGTACTTCCCCCTCACCGAAGTTATTAAAACCATCTCGTAAGCAACGAAGGACTCTCAGTTCCGCATCAGACATCATGAGGATCGCGTTTGTTGACATTCAAGGCTTTACAGTTGACGGATTATTCGTACCTAAAGAACTATGTATCGAAATTGGTTTCAAGAAAAGTCATTACATCTTTACACCTCCGCAACCTTTTTCTACATTAAATACTAAAGACAAGAAAACTGTCGCTTACTTGGAGAAGAATTTCCATGGGCTTAAATATTCTTCCGGCGACGTTAAATATTCCAAGTTAAATGAAATAATTAAAAATAAGGTGATATATGCGGCTGACTATGTCTACGTTCGTGGAGAACAGAAAGCAAACTTTTTACTCAAGAAATGTCACATTTTTGGTGTTTTTCCCAACATTATTGATGTTTGCAAGTATGATGGTACACCGTGTGCTACTGGAAACTTTGTTGCTGATTCCAATCCATGCCACACCAACGGACAATTTTCCTGTACCCAGAGAAATGTTGAACGTCTACGCCACTGGTTTTCAAATATCATATTACCTATGTAGTTTTTTCTATTTTCAATAAAATATTAAACGTATTATTGTAGTTTTATTGAAAATACCTCTGGTTTGCGAAATAATTGTCAGAATGTCTATACTATTTTCATTTTGAACGGTATCATCCTGTATAATAATAACAGTACATCGTATACAGGTTATGAGACATTCTGACCGACCGACCGACCGACCAGAGGAGCCCACCACGCTATTTAGGTCACGCCTTGCTATATACGATTTAACGATATACCGTCGGTCCATCGATCCGCTATTTTTCGTTGCACCCCTGTATACACGTTGCCCCCCGTAATCCACGCCAACACCAGACAGATGCGGCATCGGCGCCATATATGCGCGAGATGCCCAACCCATCAATGGCAGCTGTCCAATGACACATAGATTCCGTTTGGTTTGTACAGCGCCAAACAAATCGGCGCCATCTATGCGCGAGATGCCCAACCCATCAATGACAGGTGTCCAATGACGTATGACAGATGACGTTTTAACGCCATCTATGCGTGAGATGCCCAATGACGCATGACAGGTGTCCAATGACACACAGATTCCGTTTGGTTTGACAGCGCCATCTAGCGGCGGAATCCCCAACTCATGAATACAGATTCCGTCCAACAACCTGTCAATGGCGCGCGACGCCAGCGCCTCTGGTGGCGGATTTTGGAAGTTTTGAGACCGAATCCCCATAAGACATCTACTGTGGTCATAATGAAAGGCAACTAAACAACCTCGAGTTTTCCGTGCACTTGTGAAGTAAACGATTTTTTTTTTCTAATAACGAAAAACGCCGTGCCAGATCCATTTCAATGTTAACGTCTACTACCAACACCACTTCCTAAGAGGTTTTTAAATGAAATATTTTCTCAGAGTATTTGAGAACTGCACATTCACCATTTTTGTAAACCGGACAAACTGCCCCCTGTTGTCCAGAAACTAATCATAGCATTGCTTTGGTTCCAAGAAAAGGAAGGAAGCAAGAAATATATCATGCTCGATTTTAAGACAAATCGACTGGGAGCCAATTTCCAAATTTCATGTTAAGGGGCATCATGAATGAGGTCGGGTTGGAAAACTTCCCCCATAAATGCGACGTTTTTGCCTCCAAGCATCTGTTACAAAATGATCACTGGGTATCGAGGGAGTCATTGGTTGATCAATTTGGAATAAGTGTATTTGACAAAATTAACCTAAATTTTCTCTTGAAGCTGCCAACCATATTATACAGTACCGATAATGACATTAATAAAATTATTTACCTGTAAATTATGCGATTTCTCTACTTGAGTGAGGAGGCTTATAGTCACTTGAAATAACCCAGAAACAATTATAAAAACTAGCAAAGCAATAAATTGTTGCTAAAAGCTCGGTTATCCTAATGACTAACGGCGTCGGTGATGTTAGCAGAAAACGGAGAAATTCTTCGTGATGTTATTTCCAGTTTGCTGTAGTTTTATTAATAGTCCTCAGGAGTAGTTCTAGTGATCCATCAGACACCAAGTAAGTGATTTTTTCGCTCCGGACAAAGCCTTTTTTATTTTTAACAGCTCGTTTTTTACAACTTACTTAGCAACTTCTGCCTTCAGGTTACCATTTTCGAGTTCTACACATTTACAATTACCCTATAGATAGGCACCTTCTATGCTTGTCTTAATTAAATCTCAAATCTTACCCTTCAAGACCCTGAAGCTTGTATTAGGTGCAGTTTATTGTAAGGCCATTTTTAACATTCTTGATAGGCTATAGACCAGAGTTCCCCAAACTTTTTTGTGTCGTAGACCCCTTGCCATTTTTTTCCGTGTTGGGTAGACCCCCTACTTACCTGACATTGATTTCGTGTAAATTTCTAACTGTAGTGATGTTTAGTGTTAAAAACTTATAGTAAAAACACATGTTAATTTATACATTTATTAATTGAATTTAAATTAAAACTACTCAAAATAAAATTTTGTATCTGTTATGTAAAATATACGTAACATTAAATAAACAGTTGTCTGACCAATAACTGCCCGCATTGGGAATAAGTGCCCGCATTGAAAAAAAATAAGAGGGATAAAATAAAAAAAAAGTGAAAAACAATAAAAAAAAGTTGTTTACTTAAAATAGTACAATAAGCGAGTTCGTTTATTAATTATAACATAAACGTACGTTCTACAATAATTTCACTGTTAGTTTGATTAAATTCCGCTTCTTATACGTTTAAGTTATCTAAAAATAGGCAAAAAATTAACGAATTTTAGTGTGTACCTATCCTTGAATTTTCAAAATAATTTAAAAAAAAATATTTTCTATAAAGGGGGGGTTAAAAAATCAATGCGGGCACTTATTCCCAATGCGGGCATTTATTGGTCAGACACCAATAAAAATAAAATAACATAAGCAATAAGTCAATATTTTTAGTCAGAAGGATGAACCTGATGCTTTAATAATAAATTATCAACATTTGGCGTCAATTGTGTAAGGGTTAATTTTAAATCTCCTCGGCTAATGATGTCCAGTCTGTTTCTTTTTTTTTGTTAGGAGACTGGTAACAGCGCTGAAACCCCTTTCCACTAGGTATGACGATGGAGAGGAAATTAAAAATTTCCTCGCTATATTCCATAATACGTGATACGTAACGGGTATGTTGTTTTGCAGCCAGAATTGCTGATATCCGTTTTTAAACTCAACCTTAAGTTCTTCGTTTGTACTTAGTTCAGTCAGTTCCTCTTGTATTATGTCATTCGTTTCTTCTATGTCACCATATGGATTAATTATCCACGGTGGTATTACCATAGTTAAAATATCCTCAAACCTAGATTCAAAATCTGAATAGAGGGCATATAAATGTAATAAGTTGGAACGTCGTCTTCCTGGCAGGTTGTCTGTGACAAATTGGGGAACTGAGAAAATTCGCCCCGTTCAATATTTTGCTTCATTAGTTTAACTCTGGCAAGAAACGCTGATAAGATGGACTTTGTTTTAATCAAATTTAAACTGTCGCCTTGTAATAATTGCAAATTAACCATATTAAATTTTGTAAACAAATCTGTTAAATAGGCGATGTCTGTTTTCCTGTTCATTAAATTTTCTTTTAAATTTTTATCTTTAGTATCCAGAAATTCTAAAATAGTCTCAAAAAGTGCAAAAAATCTTGTCAAACATAAGCCTTTCGACAGCCAGCGTACTTCAGTGTGAAGGAGTAATTGATGAAAGTGTTCGTCATTTTTTTCACACAACTGCGCAAATAACCGCGTATTGCTAACACCCCTGACACATTTTGTTTTAAATAGCTTATAAATGCACGATAACGTCCAACCATGGCAGGTGCTCCATCTGTAGCTACTGATATTATATTTGATAAAGGAATTACTTTTTCAATGAAGTAATCCTTCAAAACATGAAATATTGATTCACCTTTAGTGTCGGTTATCAAAGTTCTTGTGAAGAGCAGTTCCTCGTAGATTTCTTGATTCATAATAAAACGAATATATGCCAATAATAATGCTGCATTATCAGGTAAAGTTGACTCGTCCAGTTGTATAGAGAAATGGGTCGTTTGCGAATAATTATATAAGATGCTTTCAATATCAGAACTCATTTCATCAATACGTCTTTCAACAGTATTGTTGCTTAAGGGAATTCTTTTAATGATATCAGATGCAGGTTTGTGTAAAACAGTTTTTAAAACCTCTTCAACGGCTGGCAAAATTATCTTCTCTCCGATAGTATGCGGTTTTCCGGATTTTGCTATAAGTAACGAGATATTGTAAGATGCCCGCAAACCATCATCATTTCTTTGTGACGTCGAAGCGAACATTCTGTCCAGTGTAGGTCTCTTCTGAAATTTATCTTTGAGTGTTTGAAAGTATTTCAAATTTTTCTCTGTTTTATCAGGGTGTCATCTTCTCAGATGATCTTGCAGTTTAGATGGTTTCATAGCGTCATTGCCCAAAACTTTGTTGCATAAAAGGCACGTAGGCGATTGTTTGTCCGGTAATGATGGAATGAAGTCAAATATCAAATAATCAACACTGCACTGTCTACATTTCTTTTTAGATTCGGACATGGCATCAGTCATCTGTGGGCAAAATTAAATTATTTAAATGAGACAGAAAATCCAGCAGCTGTATATTAAAAATATTTTTTGATTTTTCCGAAAACATTCCATAATTCGAACATCTTCTTGCAACAATTAGCTCGAATTACGGAGATTGCACTGTAATTATATTACCGATTGCTGAAACTTTCAAAAAGAAACTATTGAGGAGTACTCGTGTAATTTTGCATGATTGAATATTTAACTACTAATACCTAAAGTCATGATTGGCGTAATTTATCTATCTTTGCTAACTACGAGTACAAAACCAAAATTTAATAATAAATAATTTACTTACTTTTCTCCAGCACTCTCAAACAAAATAACACTGACTCAGTATAACTTGTGTGATATACTATCTGTTTATATTTTTTAAAATATTTTCTTAGCACTTTCCTTTTCAAGATTCAGGAAACGAATAAACGTATTTGTCCCACATTCGTATTTATAGAGTGACGAATTGAACAAGTCAGTGCAAGGTAGCGAAGCTCTGAGACTGCGACTCTCAGGTTTTTACAAGTTCAAAATGTATTGCGACCACAAAGCGAATACCAACATCCTACAACGTACACAATTTTATAAACATATATAGTAAATTTTTTACTTCATAGGTACTTTTATAAATAATGTATATGTTTTGATATTATAACATAGTATGATGTAAGTAAATAAGGTACTATCAGTGTATGTGTTCAGATCCACTATCGTGGACCCCCATATTCATTTCATGGACCCCCAAATTTTTTTTCGCTGACGTAGACCCCTTGCAGGTTGTCATAGACTCCTAGGGGTCGATATAGACCACTTTGGGAATCAATGCTATAGACGAAACATTGTTATGGTGCATGAGCGTCGCAAGGTTTCTTCTGCAACTATTTTCAGAACGGTTTTTTTAAGGCTATATAGCTTCTAAGCACTCAATTATGTATAAATATAGGTAAATTAGTATCCCACCGATGATCTTCTCTAATTCAATTAAACTATTTGGAAATATTAGGAGCATACTTTGGCGACTGTCAAAAAACCTTTCTTGTCCGCCATTTTTCACCCGCACCACAGAAATCTAAGATTACATCAACTACTCAAAACTTCTACAAAACTTGAGCATTAAATAATTGAACTGGAACTGGAAATTCTTTTCCATTAAACGAGCTCTAGACATAGGACATCCATCAACTCGGACAAAATCTTATTCCATAATATTCTTATTTCAGCCGTGAGCCTAGCCGACAGATAACTGAATCCTTCCCTGTTCCTGTCCAACTTGTATATACGCCTGCCAGGACCTGCGTTGAATGTTAAAACAGTGAAAACTCAGAGGAATAATGTTCTTCTAGGGGACTTTTCGAATAAGTTTCGTATAATTTATTGAATAAAGTATCCGGTTCGGTTTATGTTTAAATGAATAAGAATTGCCCAGACGCGGCTGCCTCACTAACGGAGTTTAATAGAATACGTCCTATTGTCTTTTCGCTAGTCTGTTCTCATTTAGCGAAAATGATCATTTGAAATCAATTGGTGGCAGGTAATTACTTTATTATGAGAAATAAATATTCTCACGTTAATCAAGGCTGAGGGAAGCGCGGGCAAATCCCGCGACAAAATATGTTTTCCTAACAGAAAATCATTTAAAGCACTTGCTTGGTCATTGAAATGAGACGGATTGAATAAATGGTTAGAAAACAAGAAAACTCTTGAATAAGTGACTTCGGGCAAGGCAGATAAAGCAACACTGTATACTGTGTACTGATAAGTGGATAGTGTATTTTTGTTGTTAGTAAATTAGTAAATTTAGAATCGGTATTTTGGTGCAGATAGTATACAAATAAACATAGACAGAGCAGCAGATGAAAGATCTTTATCGGAGAACGTTAGCTAATCTGTGCAAAACTGCGGATTGATATAAATGTAAGCTATCAGTGATGTCGTCAAAACTTTTTGGAATTTAGGGTCGTTCGGCATCAAATTAGGCTGCTAACCATTGGTGATATGTCTTCACTTAACCCCAGGGGTCGGAAAAAGTTTGCATTTCTTTGTTTTTACTTCACATGCCCGCTGGCCAGGAAGTATTGTAATAGCACAAATGAGCTATTATGCTTTTTTTGAGGCTCTATGTTGGGTCCATTACTTTTTTCGGTATACTCTGCAAATATTACTAGTAGTTTGGTATATTCAAAGCCTTATTTATATGCTGATGATACCCAGATACAATTTTCGTTCTCTCATACAGATACAACAACCGCGGTTACATTATTAAATGAAGATCTTAGTAATTTGACAAATCAAGGCATAGCTCATGAGTTATCCGTAAATCCAACTAAGTCAAATCTTTTATTGTTCGGGAAACACAAAAAGAGCGTGGCAGATTCATTCCATATTTCAATTAATAAGAATGTTATTCCTCATACGTCCGCTACTAGGAATTTAGGCTTGATTATGGATAGTGACCTGAGGTTTTCAAAGCATGTTGATAAGTGCATTGGCTGTACTTATGGTCGCTTAAAATGTTATTTCCACATCGTCATATCTTTTCTACCGAACTTTGCTTTGTGACACGCTTGTTCTGTCATTATTCAGTTACTGCGACTCAGTTTATGGGCCTTGTATAACAAGGTATGATGCTGATCGTATACAGCGTGTCCAAAACTCATGTCTTAGGTTTATTTTGGAGTGAAACAATTTGAACATATTTCTTATAAGTTACCTGTAATAGGATGGCTAAATATGGAAGCTAGGAGAAATCTGCACTCTACAGTTTTGTTTCATAAAATTATTCTATATAAAACTCCACCATATTTATATAATAAGATTACATTTCGAAGTGATGTTCACAATATCAATGTTCGGTATCGGAAGCTACGTTTACCAGATGTTTTTCTCATTTTATCTACCACTTGTACAATCAAACAAACCTTAAGTCTGTGTCTGTGTCAGCTTTTAAAAGAGGTTACAGAAAATTTCTATTAGATGAATTGTAGTGTTTACTTTATATTGTTCCTTTCCATTTTATATTTTAAATGTTTTTTTTTGTTAAATCTGCCTAAAATGATTTGACCTGTTTCGTTAAATTATATTTTAAATTATATTTTTATATAATTTCTTTATATACATATTTTTTTTGACGTTTATAATTATTATTTATTTATTATTAATATTAATTTGGTTAACAACTAATCTGTTGTAATTTTGTTTGTTGGCTAGTACTTTGATCAGCTCGTCTTTTTACTAGTCCCTTTTGCAGGGTATTCATATTGTTTCTTTATTTATAGTTTTTCTTTCTCTTTGTATTTTTTTTGCTCTGCAAATAAACGCTATTATTATTATTATTATTATTATCTTATGTGACATGTACATCACGAAAAACCATGACACTTATTTCCATCTGTATGTGACCGACAAACCTGTCTATCCACTAATTCTTGGACCGCATATAACTTGGAACACAAGGTTACTCCTTTGCCAAGGACGACAAAGCTTTGCAGTTATTTACAATCGGACCAGTGGCGGCGGATGAAATTACCGAAAACGAAAACAATTAAAATCAACTCAAAGTGAGATCTTTGACGTTTCAGATCATTTTTTAACAAAATTTTAAGTGTAAAAAGTAAGGAACTGGGGCGTTGAAGGGGGTGGGGGAGGGTATATCGCAATGTTTTGACTCATCATAGATGTCCCCATATATTTACCTTTAAAGCAGAAACATATTTTCTCCTCTCAAGACGAAACAAATTGAATATTCTTGCGTAAAAGTTGGTTTCTGGGTTATTTTTTAGGGAAATTGCTGCCGACACATTACTGTAGCGCGGTTATCCATTATACGAGGGGACTTGCATTTGTAAAAATACCGGGATAATCTAGTAGTTGGTTCTAGTGTATGGTGCAGATTACAGTTTTTCCGTGCAATTGGGCGAGTACTGTGGTCTTGTTAAAGGTATATTTCCAGCACCCAAACTTACCCCTCAACTATCCCAGTTAAGTAATCCAAATCCCGTATTTCTATGAAGTTAACTTCTCTCTCTTTCAACTCCTGCAGTATTTGTTGTGCAATTCATGAATTTTGTATTAGTTGTGGTTGATTATAGCCACGAACTACGCTCTGCAGTTTTTATCCAGCGCCTGATGTTACACTTTCAAGATCTGCAAACTTCTCGTGTCATCGCTTTCTAGAACACCCCTAGCATCTGCTCCATCATTTGCTAGAGGTGATCCCTCATTTCTATAATGGGTGATAATGATTAGGCCGTTCTTCCCACATTGAAAGATGCATAACTCACTGCCTCAACTGCCGTGGCTGGAGAGTTCATTTCTCTTTAGACATAACAATTCTCGGGCATGTACAATAGCTTACCCGCTTTACTCCTCAATTTCATTTCCTTTCATGTCATATATCCCTTCATCAGGGTTACAGTACCATCTGTAGTTATGAAAATCAAATCCGCCAATTCCATCAACCCAGCAGATCACTCATCGCATGTTAATGCACACGGTCCGATACAGAGATACCACTGAGTGCAATGTCCGGCTTCTGCAAGTGGGAGCGACGGTAAATTGCTCACCGGTAGCCCCAAGACGCCTTCTGGAGGTTCGTCATCCTCAACCACATCACCCCGGAACAGTCCAAGGCGGACTGAGCAACAATTATTGTCCTTGTGGTCGGCAGTTCACACCATCAAAGGCTTATAAAATGAGGTCCTCGTCAAAAATGTACAGGCGCTTCAGATTTGAAGGGATTCTATGCACCT